GATTTCCCGCCGCCGCCGCCTGCTCGATGCCCTTGGGTACCTCCGTTGCTACTCCGTTCTCGCCCTGCGCCGCTGCGAGGGACACTGCGGGGTTGTTGGGTCCAGTCACGACGCTTGGCGCCGCGGAGGCCACTGTCAGTAGGAGAGCGAGCGACGCTACGAGTAACAACCGCGCCATGGTTAAATTCTAGGTCAAGGCTATTTGTTGTCAGTAGGACTGCGCGTGACGCTACGGTAACAACGACGAAGAGATGTCTCGTTGTCGAGGAATGTTGAAATCGCTTAGAGAGAAAAACAAACTCTCGGGAGTAAAAAGTCGTAGGAATGAATCCACACCTAAGCTGACAGACGAAAGACTTGAGTTGTCCAGTTTGTCGACGGACTTGCTTATTATATCGCTTTGGGGTGTGTCTGGTTGGCTTGAATTGCCCCTCTGCTTTGCAGGGGTGCTCGCGAATCGCGCGATTGGAACAAGCGAAGCAACCAGACCGCGCTAAATCAGGTTACTTGAACTGTAGATGTTGGCGGGCGAATGCGAATCCGCACTTTTCTGGCGCAGGTTAGCCCCTCGCGGCCAGTTGTTACCGAAACAGTTGTGATCAGGTCTCAGCTCAGGTGACAAGTTTTCGATGCGCAGAGAGCAGGCTCGTGCCCTAGCTAGCATGACTGAACACCTGGGTCGCCAATTATTTCCTAGGGTTTCTCTTCACGATTCTCTGTGTGGAAAGCTACATGCGGTTTGGGAGTTTTCAAGAGTTCTATTGAGCGTAATTGATAACGATGCAATGTTGCGCCATATTTCCTCAACAATCTGCCATTGGTGGAATTTAGCTTGTTAATCAGACGAGTTCAATGTAGTTACCCCTGCCGGATTTTTTTTTTCTTTTATGTTTTTGCACATTTATTGATATAACTGGCACCCTGAAATGCAGCACGTGCTAGCCAACACAAAATGAAGGCAGTACATATCGCACACAGTCATTTCTTTACATCCATTATATAACCAGGAGTCACTATACAAATGAAGTTCAATTACAACAGCTTCTCTATGTCAGCCTGCATAGAAAAAACGAGGGCAAAAGGAAACTATGTCAGCTTAAATCCATACAACCTGAGCTAGACTTTCCAGAAAAGATCAGGACAGGAACTCTTATATCCATAATCTTACCTGGATGGCGGAAGGAGAGGTGGTAGGAGCGTATCTCTCCACGACCTTGCCATCCTTGTCCACAAGGAACTTGCCGAAGTTCCACTTGATCGAGTCACCCAGCAGTCCTCCACCCTTCTGCGACCTCAGGAACTGGTAGACCGGGGCTGCGTTCGCCCCGTTCACATCCACCTGCATGCAGAGCAAGATGGGACGGAGAAGTGAGATTGTTAGACATGCTTGTATGTAATGTTGGATTAATAGCCGTCATGACATATTTTGAATGCAATAAGACCAGACTTCTAGTAAAAGCATTCTTTCTCGACTTCTTCTGGTCTGTCTCACTTGAAGTGTATGCCTGCACCTCATGAGTTACTCCTCACGCACTTCCGGCCACATAGACGTCACCCCGTTACCCCATAACGGTAGCAATACCTTGTCAAAGAGTGGGATGTGGCGCGGTATCTGGAGCATGCGAAGTCCTTAATCTTCCCGTTGCTGCAACGAAGACTATTTTATTCGCGCCATAGGACCGCGTACCTTGTCAAAGAGCGGGAAGGTGGCGCGGTATCTGGAGCACGCGAACTCCTTAATCTTCTCGTTGCTGCCCGGCTCCTGCGACCCGAACTGATTGCACGGGAACGCGAGGATCTCCAAACCTGGCGGACGAGAATCAGAGGTGGGAGGAGGAAAAGGTTAGAGCAGGTACGGGAAGCAAGAGGCATGATGCGAGTAAAATTAGGTTTTGTGAGGAGCAGAAGTAAGAAGAGGGGAAGCTGCAAGAGGAACGCGGCAGGAAAGACGCGGCAAGAGGAGACACGACAAGAGGAAAGCTGGGAGAAGAGGAGCGGCGACGTAGGCCGAGAGAGAATGGGAAGAGCGTAAGCCGCGCAGAGTGTTACTCGAGTGAACCTTGACACAAGTGTTCTCACAATCCCTCACCTCTGTCCTTAAGCTTGTCGTACACCGACTGCAGCTCCTTGTAGTTGGAATCGGTGAGTCCACTGCCGAGGCCCTCGGGATAACGGATGATTACGAAGGATAGTAGGGGAAAGCGCGCGACAACAGGATTGAGGTACGAGCATGGACGAGCGTCTGAACAACCGAAGTGGCAGGAGATCAACATTGGAAGGCGAAGGGTCTGAAGTACCAAGTAAGCTCGACCTCTGTCAAGCGGGAGGGGACAGGGAGAAGGTTGGCAGTCAATTCCACGTCTACCCGAACTTTGTTGGCGCTCTGGTTACTTCTTTACTGTTCCGAGATCCAACAAGCGTCGCATGTCGTTCTACTCACCATTGCGAGGCGACGTTGACGACAAGAACGACCTTGCCCTTGTACTGCGACAGCGACACGGGGTTGCCGCTGATATCCTGCGCGCGAGCGAGAAAGAAGCGATATAAGTGGGATGCAACAGGTCAGGTAAGACTGCGCCGATCACTCCTGAGTCGCATCAGCATTAAAACCGACTTGAATGGTAGCGAGGATCACACAAGCACCGCAGTTTCACTGGGGATCCTGCGAGTACAACTGGCTTACGTTGACAGTGAAGTCGTGGAAGGTCTTCCCCGCGAAAGTCGCCGCGGATGCGTTGGCACCCATCGCTCCGCCCTTTGTGGACGCCGACGCGCTCCTGGAAGCAGTCTTAATGGCAAACGCCTGGCGGAAGCTCGGAGCGCTACCCTTCGCGAACGACGAGCCACTCACTAGCAGGGTCGTAGCGTGCTTACGCGCGGGACGAGAGATTGTGGAGAGGCTGCGAGCGAGAGATGCGGTGGAAGCAGCAGAGGCAATAGCGGCCATCGCAGGCTCAAGTAGGCAAACAACAAGAGAGATGTAGTCGGCGGAGACAGATACAGAGAGGCGAATCTGGATTGGCAATTCTTGATTCCTGAAGTGATGGTGAGGAGAAAATGTTGAAATTAGAGGTGGATGAATTCGCGGCAGGGAGGAATTTGCGGTGATGACGTAAGCGAGAGCTTCCCCAGAAGGAGCACAGGTTTGTGGATCAACACCCGAGGCAGATCGTTTTTCTATGGTTGGTAGCCCCAGCAGTGGGCAGCTGATTTTGAGCTCAACAAAGTATTGCTCGCGGCATGTTTGGCTGGGCTAAACATGTTTTTGCAAATTTCAAAACCGATTTCCTGTCCTCTTTCTCAGCGAGTCATCCCACCTGGTCGGTCCCCTCTAGAAATAAGAGATTGCTGACGTCAGCTCCCTCATTTTCCTTTCACGAGGATCCATCGAGTACACGTGTACACGTAGTGACTCTCCAGCTCTTGATCTTCCACGTGCATGAAATATGTGCAGCCAACACGCTGCTGGTCTTGTCTACGTGGCTCTTCGACTGAAAAAGGATTTGCGGAGGAGATGCACGAGGACGAACCGCTAGAAGCATCTCCGATGTCGTGCTAAGAGATTGGCCTTTTAACACACGGGAAGGCAATGACTACGGAAACCCGATCTGCGGCCAGCGAGCCTGAAGGCTGCATGCTGGACGATGCAGAATAAGGACCAGGGTTTAGGGTTATGGATGACGCCTCAGAGGAATTTCCGTCACCATCGATATTAGCACGACACCTCTGCGTACGAGGCCCCACTTTGCAAGTCCCCCTAGATAGGTTAAATATTACGTCATAGTGATTCGTGGGATGCATGTTGATGCTTTCAGTCCATAGAGAAAAGACGGCCAATTCGGTGTCATTCGCCTCTTCTCGGAATAGAGCACGACGATCTTCCGAGCGTTGAAACGACGTTTGGCACTTTTCTTGCGTCCATTCCGTTCCGAGCGTAGATACGTTTCTTGTTTCCGTGGTCCAGGGACTGCCTGCGACCAGAATGCCCTGCTAAGTCCTCTTCACATAACTAGGTCCTTACACGTTCCTCCTGGCTCGCGGTTGATTGCTGCTGGAGCCACGTGGCGTAACTCATTGGCGAGCGTCTCGTCGTAACACGTGGAGTTAAGTGTCGAAGTTAGTGCCGAAGAATTATTCAGCATGAGACGAAAGACTCAAAATAACTTGACGTAACCCTCTTGAGAGCTGGCGTAATGCTCCTCTGAGACAGTCTCTGAGAATCCCGCATACGCCCCTTGTTGAACAAATCCATCCCACGGGAAGGAGGAAGGGGGGAGAGGGCGCCGTCCTGAAGACCACTGCCGTAAGCGTGACTGAAAGGCGCATTCTCTGTGCATCTGCTTGTGATCGTGCTTGGGAGCATGGTGCGCGTCCGCTTGAGAGTGACTGAGGACATAAGAACCATACCCAAGGGCACAGGATTCGAAGGTTACGATGTATTCAACGGCTTCAGCAAGAGTACTTCAGCAAGAGTACGTCAGCAAGAGTACGTCAGCAAGAGTACGTCAGCAAGAGTACTGACCCAGTGGCGTTCCTTGGCCCAGACTGTTGTGCGGGACACACGTTGGCTGCTTCCTGGGAAAATGGCTATTAACAATAAAATGAAGATGAAGTTTCGACCATCGCATACATTTTTAGGAATGGCTTCGCATACAAAGAATCAGGTTCGCAGTGCTCCTCCCAGCACGTTCACTAGTACCACAAACACCATGACCAGACTCATCCATCCCTCCCTTCACGTGTGCGTCTGATGAGTCTACTTTTCAGTCAGACTCAAACATCGACTCACGACGGTCAGACTCACCCATCTCTCCCTTCCAGTGTGCTGGGACTACCATACTCCACAGCCGCAATCATTCATGACTCGTCTTGTCTACTCCGATTCTCAGGGAAGCCTTAAACTACCCTGCTCACGTCAATCCAACTATAAAGCCGCTTTTAACTCCCTGCCTGCCTGCCTCAATCCAGCTTGTGGGGCATCCCAAATGACACCCCTCACATCACTCCGCCCAATAGTCAACTGCAGGTGGCGATGCCTCCAGTGGGGCAGATGGGGAGGAAGGAGACGCTGCAGCACCCCCAGCACGTCCATTCGCTGCATCTCCTGCAGCAGTACCAGTAGCATCACCACCAGCATCAGCGGCACTATCATCACCACCAGTGTCACCACCCTCACCCATCCCACTCACCCCAGCCACCCTTCTCTCTCCACCCACCCACCTCTCCCTCCTCAGCTCCTCCACAGCCACCACAGCCGCCAGCAGCCTTCCCGCCAGCTGCCGCTGATACTCCTCCATTCGCCTCTGCTCCCGCTCCACCTCCCTCTGCTTCCGCCCCACCCTCTCCTGCTCCCGCTTCACCTCCTCCTGCTCCTTATTTAACCTCTCCTGCTCTTTAACTAACGCCTCCTGCTCTTTAGCTAGCGCCTGCTGCTGCTCCCTCATCTGCTGCAGAGAAGCGAGATCGATCGGCGCAGACACCCCTCCAGAGGAAGAAGAACCCTGCTGGTCCTCGTGCCGCTGCTGAACTGCTGCCAGCAGAGACAGCAGCTTCTCCTGCGCCCCAAGCAAGCCCTCCTGGGCGCTCCGAATGCCCTCCTGTTCTGCCTGAAGCTGCTCCCTCTCCGCCCCCACCTCCTCCTGCTGCGCCCCTAGCTGCTCCTGCTGATTCCTCACCTGCTGCAGGTGCGCTCTCACCTGTTCCTGCTGCGTCAATAGCACCTCCTGCTGCGCCTTCAGCTCGTCCTGCTGTGCGCACAACTGCTGCTGCATGCCTTCAACCACCTGCTCCCACCGCACAGAACCATCCTGCTGTTCCCAGACACCCATCCGCTCCCCCTTAAGCCTCTCCTGCTCGTCTCTCAACACCTCCTGCTGTGATTTTAGCGTCTCCTGCTGTGCTTTCAGAGCGTCTTGCTGGGAGCGCAGGAGCCGCAGCGAGTTAGAAAAGAGGTCGAACTGGCGCACGGACTGGTCCTGCACGCCCAGCAGCAGCAGCTGCACCTCCTCCGACTCCCTTCTAGATGCCACCAGGGCGTCTTGAAGGCCTTGTACTTGCTGCGCTGTCGCCTCTGCTAGCTTGGATGTCTGGTGGGGATAGGGAGAGCGAGAAAGTGAAATGTTAGAGAAAGAGAGAGCGGGTAGAAAGAGGTTGAATTGCCGCAACGACTGGTCCTGCACGCCCAGCAGCAGCAGCTGCACCTCCTCCGACTCCCTCCTACTTGCAAGCCTTGTACTTGCTGTGCTGTCGCCTCTGCTAGCTTCGACGTCTGGTGATATAGGGTAAGGGAGAGAGGGGAATTTACTTGACGGAGTGGGACATGAGAGGATCTGGCCTGCATGCCCTGCTGCGCTGCTGCTACTGTAGGGTTTGTGCTGTCTGGTCTGGTGGCCACTTGTGAGTGGACTCAAAGTCCACCTGTAACTGCTGAGCACAAGTGCAGAAAATGCACATCTATTATTATTTAGAAAAATATTATTTAGAAAATGTACCACGCAACAACATGGCCCACAGATCTAGCGCACCTGCAGCATGGGATCTCTGAGAGTCCGCCTCGTGACTCGCTTGTGCAGCTGGATCTTCTCCACATGCCATGAGAGCGCATGCACCACTCTCACCACCTGCTGCTTCGAGCCCGTGTTCTTACCTCTACTCTATGGCCATGCGATTCACCATACCTGCAGCATGGGATCTCTGAGAGTGCGCCAGGTGACTCGCGTGTGCAGCTAGATCTTTCCACATGCCGTGACAGCGCATGCACCAACCCCACAACCTGGACCACCTGCTGCAGCTAGCGCATCCTATATACTCCAGGGTCAGGCAATTCAACGTACCTGCAGCATGGGGTCTCTGAGAGTGCGCCTGGTGACTCGCGTGTGCAGCTGGATCTTCTCCACATGCCGTGAGAGCGCATGCACCAACCCCACCACCTGCTGCAGCTCTGCCACGCTCACATGCTCACCCCCAGCCTTTCCTTCCCGCCCTGCTGCTGCTGCTGCTGTAGACGCCTTCTGTACCCCCTGCTGCTGCTGCTGCTGCTGCTGCGGCTGCTGCTGCTGTTGCTGCTGCTCGTGTCTCTGCTGCGGCATCCCAGGTTGAACGGGAGCAGGTGGGGGTTGAGACTGAGACGGAGGTGCTTGTAACGGGGGTGATAAAAGCGAGGGTGCGGTGGGCAGGGAGAGGAGGCGCGAGAGGGCGGAGAGGGCGAGCGCAGAGGAGAGGAGGAGCGATTGCCAGAAGAGAGGGGGGAGCGCGGAGAGGGACGAGGCGAAGGCGGAAAGAGAGGCGACCTGGAAGGGGGAAGGGGGTGGGGGATGGGGGAAATGGAGGAAGGTAAGGGGGGTACTTAAGGGGGATAGAAGAGGGGAAGGGGGGAAAAGCAGTGGACACTCACTCGATCCGTCCCGTTATTCTCGCCTGATCCTACAACGTTGTTTTTTTTTCCTCCTTAAATCTCCTTTCTGTTCTTTTCCTTGTTTGTTCCAGAAGCAAGCCCGTCGGTCTCACCTTGTGCTGGAGCAGCAGGGTCGTCACTTGCCGCACGCACACGAGCAGCAGCGCTCCCACGCACACGTACCACGCCACGCCTATAACCCGTCCGACTCGCCATCTCCACGTCTCCCCTTTCCCCTCCCCTTCCTTGCCTCGTGCCTGAGTGAATCTCCTCTCTTTCACCCCTTCCGCTTCCCCTTCCTCCTTCTCTGCGAATCTTTTCCCTTCTTCTCCTTCTCCATCCCTTTCTCCTTTTCGTTCTCCTTCCCCTTCCCACCCTGCCGCTCCCTCCCAACCGACACCTCCGCCAACAGCCGCAACACGGAACGAGACATTTCGCGACGGGGTCGTTGGCGAAGCTCGCCGCTGCTCGCGCCAATTCGCGGACGACAACGCGACGACCGGCGGGAATATCTTCTCTCGGTTACCTCTCAGGGAAAGCTGACCAGCCGTCGCGCAACGGCGGGAGCGGTCGTCGGATGGGTGAGGGACGCAGCAGCCTAGAAATGGCCGCAGCATCCTCGCAGGCGCTGCTGGAACCGTCCGATGAGTCATTGCTAGCAAAGCGCTCCTATCGTTTACTAATTTCGGCGGCATATCCGCATTTGCAGCCGTGATCCTCCCCCCACTAGTAGCGGTGCGTGATCCGCCGCTGGAGGCGACGCGAATCATGGCGAGTGGGCCGTACTAGCTCGGAGATAGCTACTGCTGCTGCTGAGTCCGCGGTGAATCGTCGTATGCGGATCCAGACGGCTTCCACGTGGCTTATCCTACCGCGCGATCACGCTGATTGGTCGTCGCAATATCGTAATCACGATCGTATCTCGACCCATCGCTATCGCATCACAATCGTATGTCGATCATATCACGATGCTATGACAAAGTACACATCCAGCTATTCCCGAGAGAATCGCGGCCGAATGTTTTCAACGGCTACAATCCATGCCATTGTGCAGCAGACAGCACCTCCTGGGACCCATGCAATCGACACGACTGCCCCTCTATGGCTGCCTGCACACCCCGATTGCAGCTATCGTGGCTCGTCAGGTTCCGTACCTTCAGCTCTCGTCTAATAATCCGTACTGAAGTTCTAGGCTGTAGCCTGTAATAGGCATATGTGCATGCCCTCTCGAGGACCCAATCCAAGCTCTGTTGAACCAAACAAACTGATGGTCCAGAATGCTTTCTCGGGATCATCGCTCCCCTGCGCAATCGAATGGCTGGAATTGACTTTGAGAAGTCGAACATGCGATCTTGACGGCTGAACATCCTACGGCTCACAGGCGAACACACGGCATGAGCACCGCGTGATCTCCCCTTCTTTTGGAAAAGTTCCGAGAAGAGAGCATGGTGCAGTTGAAGATTCTTGGTGTAGTCTAGTGCATTCTGCTAGATTCTGCATTAGAATATACACGAACAGCCTACTGTATATCAATACATCATATACATCAACCCTAAACCCTGGCCTAGGTGTTAGAGGAGATACATTAGCCACCGCTTCTGTTCATCATCGGACCGTGTGTGTCACATGTCAGTGTTATGTGAGAATACTCAGGCGAAGAGCATCATTGGAATTGACTACCCGAGTATCATTGATTGTCCAATCGAACACTCAAGTCTTTCCGACATCAGTAATTAGACGCCTGGGCAGGTAATGCACCAGCATAAAGCCTGTTATCCCACATGCCATGCCATGCCTGACCATGCCACCATGCCACACACACGATGCATCAAGCCATGCTAGGCCACAATAAAGCCAAGCCAAGTCATATCATATCACATGCCATGGCATGAGAGCTTATAAGGGGAAGAATTCAGACCTCCAGAGCCCATGCCGGAGTGGCATCGTGGCACAGCTTCCCTCTGTGCCACACACGCCTGTAATCAATCACATAATCCGTGTGTGCCGACCAGTACCCAAACCCCCCACTCGCATACAGCCAAACCCTGCCGGCCATGGGGTGCTTGCTGCAGCCCACCATACCCTCATTACAATCACCATCCGGCACAGTCACAAGCATCCCCACCACCTCTCTCTCTTCAACCTCCTCCATCTCTTCCACTCCAGCTTCTCTCTCCACCCCACGGCATGCTCCACCTGACCCCTCCCGCACACATACTTCACTTGTTACACACTGGTTACCAGAAGCTGACGGTCTTGGGGAAGCAAAGGAACCGATGTGGCTTACAGGCGCACCAGCAGGGCTTCCATTCGAATGTGGGCTAGAACGTGCGGTAGAGTGTGAGTCAAGGTGTGAGGTACGGTGTGTGTTAGGGTGTGGATTAGAGTGTGGTGAGGTGACGGCGAATAATCGCCGTGCACCTGGAATCATAGGAGCAGCAGCAGCCTGCCCACTGCTCCTGCTTCCCCCACTGCTGCCACCATTGCCGCTGTTCTTGTCACCATCACTATCATCACTCTCACTCTCCTCCCCATTGCTCTCCTCACTCCCACTGCTGCTGCTGCTGCTGCTGCTGTCGCTGCTGCCGCTGCTATTCGCAACGCTACTGCCATTCTGATCCCTCACTCTCTCCCTGGTTTCCCCTCCGCCCCTCCTCTCAGTCTCCCCAATTGCCTGTGATGGGCAAAAAAGAGGTCGCTTCAGGTCAAATAGCCTCTGCTCTTTTGGCGGTAACGGAGCGCTCACAAACGAGGACAGATCCGCCACCCACCTGATCGCCCCTGCTTTCCCTGGTCTGCTGTACCCACTGCTATACGGAGCTGCTTGCACTCTCACATGCACTCTCCCTCCTCCTCCTCCTCCCCCTTGTCCCCCTCCCTGTCTCCTTTCCCCACCTTCCACCCTCTCCCTCCCCGCCCTTGCTCCCCTCTCTTTTCCCTCCTCGTATGAAACGCCTCCTGCTGTCTCATCTACTCGCACTGCTCCCTCTCCTGCTGCCCTCTCTCCACTTCCTCCCCCTCTCCCTTCGGCTCTCCCCCCTGTGCTCCCCCCGGCACTCCTTTCAGCTCTCCCCTCAGCTCGTGCTCTCGCCTGTCGCCGTCGCTGGCGCCGCTCGCTGCTGCGGGTGGCGGTGGTGGTAACCGCGCGGGCGTGCGGTGGGGGCTGCTTGTACTGCGCCACCCGGCGGCACTGCAGATGTCCAGATTCGGTGCATGTGAGCAGGATGAAATCGAGGCTGCTGTGCTGGCAGACGCCCTGGGGGATGGGAGCAGGACGGAGAGGGGCGAGAGGGGGGAGGTGAGGCAGGGATAGATCGAGGGGGCAAAGGGTGTAGGAGATGAAAGAAACGAGGGAAGGAGAAGAGGGAAAAGAGGGGGAACACAAGTACGGAAACCATGTCTCGTATAACATGAACAATATGACCCACCCAGCCCAGCCCAGCCCGATGCTGCACCTTCTAGAGTCTCAGCAAGGAGAACAGAGGTGTTGTCTCCAGCTGGTTAGGCATCACCCTCACCAGATACCTTTTGAGGCGCCCCTCAAAAGCCCACCCACCCACCTTCCAGAGCCCCTGCAGGGGACACAGCGGTGACGGCTCCAGCTGGTTAGGCATCACCCTCACCAGATGCTCCTCCTCTCCCTTGCCCCTTCCACCCCTTCCACCACCAACCCCTCCGCCCGCCCCTCCCCTCCCCTCCGCTCCCCTCCCCCACCCCCTTCCCCCACCTATTTCCGCTCCCCACGCCCCTCTCTCCCCAACCACCTCCACAGCAGCATTCCCAACGGAAAGCTGGCTGCGCACCCCCCCGGCCTCGGCTATCTCTGCCGCCCGCTGCCTCTCCTTCCGCTGCTGCCGCCTCATCGCCTTGCTGGCGCCTGCGGCTGCTGACCTGGACGCCAGCGATTGGTAAAGCTCGAAGGGCGCGTGCAGGGAGGTGGAGCGGAGGGAGGCGGAGGAGGAAGGGGACCAGGCGGGGGAGGGGTTTGGCAGGGAGGAGGAGAGGCGGTCAGAATCAGCTGCATCAGCAGTTCCACCAGCTATGCGGCTTTTCCCTTTTCCCCTACCTGCCATACCAGCTCTGCTGCTTGCCTTGGCCTCTCTAACGAGATATGGACCGGAAGGGGCCAAATCGTCCACCTGAAACTGAACCTTTCTCTGCCCCCCTTGCGTCCCCTGCGTCCCAGGCTTCAACCTTCCCTGCACCACGCTTTCCTGCTCCCCGTCCTGCTCTTCCCCCTGCTCCCCTTCCTCCGCGTCCTGCTCCCCTTCCCTCCCGCCCTGCGCTCTTCCCTGCTCTCCTTGCTCTGATTCGCACCGAGTCATGGAAGCTTCGTCAGGCCGGGCATCACACTGCCCAGCTGCTACAGAGGGTGCGGGGGAAATGGGGGACGGGGACGAATGGAAGGGGGACGAGGGGGATGGGGACGAGGGGGAGGGGGACCCGAACTGGAGGTTGCGCCTTGGGGGAGGGCTCTCTTGCTGGGGGAAGGAAGTGGAGGGGGAAGGGGAGGGGGAGGGTGCGGGGGACGGGGTGTGCGGGGAGGCGGAGGACAGGGCGGAGGACAAGGGGGAGGTGAAGAGAGGACAGGGCTGCGGGGAGAAGGGGAACGCCTGGGTGTTTGAAGGGCGCGGATGGGCGGAGGCGGAGGGAGGGTGGGCGGAGGCGCGGCGGGCGCGGGATGACGGGGAGTGCGCATACATCGATGACCATGGTGATGATGCGTGAGGTAACGACGAGGAAAGCCGCCCGTCGTCAATGAGACTAGTGCCTCTCGCGTCGCTCCCGCTGATCTTTCTGTTCCCGCTTTCGTAGAAACCACCTAATCCACGTCGCAACCCGTTTCCGTTTCCGTTTCCGTTTCCCACGGCGCCATGACGCCAACCCAACACGTGTTGATTCCCGCCAGCGGAGACTACCAGGTGATTTCCCGACACGAATTTAACCTCTGCGGGCACCCACGATCCTCCGCCTTCCCTGCTGTAACTGCGCCTACGGTGATGGCTGCCACGTGTCCCGCTGCCATTGGTCGCCCCGGCTGACAGCATGATCTTGTCAGCGTGCGTCGGCCAATCAGCGTCGAGCCAGCAAGACACATCTGACGCGTCCATCTGCTGGCTATAACCTGCTTTCCCTTGTCGAAATGTATGATACTCTATATCGGGTATGAAGTGGTCTCTAGGTGCGGGGACGACGCGAAGGAAAGGAACCCTGACGACAGCGTACGGCGAAACGCTTCTCTCTTGGCCTAGCCGATCGACATGCCGATCGTAATGCCGATCGCCATGCGCATCGTCGTACCGACGACGACGCCGATCGTCGACTGCTCTGTGATTGGCTGGCGGGCCAACCGGCGCTGCGGGAAGCACGCGCACGCCCTCGATATAGCCGTCTCGCCATTGGAACGCGACGAGCGACCCCAATCCGCCGTCGCCGACTCCGCGCCAGAAACCAATCAGTGACTCCCACGTGTCCAGAACGTAATAGAGGCTCTTAAAGGACGTCAATTTCCCATGCTGCTGATCGTGGGGCTGCTGATCGAATGGCAGCTGCGAGGATTGGTGGGGAGGGGACAGCCACGTGTGCAGAGAGGTGACGTGGCCCCATCGGCGGTCGCATGCGGGCTGCCAGAGGCGAGGGTCGTCGAGGAAAACGCGGAGGAAAGTGCGGGACACGCACGCGCAGCGAGCGAGGTCTGGTAGACGGAGGTGGGAGAGGATGAGACCTAGCAGATCGTCGCTGAATTCCGTCATATCTGTAGGGTCCGCCATTGGAGCCCTAGGTTATCACATGAATGGCGAATTCGAATTCGAAAGAAACAATTTCAGAAGCACTAGTTAGTTGTGGCGGAAATGGCGGAGACTAAAAAGGACGACACTTGACGAAAATAAGTGGAGGAGCTTATCCAACAAGTCAGTCAGCTAGTACTGGCTGGGCAAAGGATGGAAGCACACCATGGAACGAATCGATAGGGCATGCTACTGGCTCAGCAGACGCACCTGAGGAATATTCTCTAGGGACTAGCTTTTGGGCAGAACGATATGGTCTGGAGTCGCACAGCTGGCTTTACGACCGCTGACGACCCCTATTTGGTCGCACAGATTGTGCCAGGCCGTGAAATGTAGTCTTGCGATCACTTGCGCTCACTCTAGCCAGTCGCTGTGGTGTCGTTAACGCTACAAGGATCCAGGTGTGGCAGATCGGTTGGTTGAAACGCGTGCGGGGCGGCTAGATGCAGCAGAACCGACGATCAAGCGACGCGCGCAGGTCGTTTCAAGTCGTGTTTTGAAGCTGTCGTAAAACCCGAGGCTGTCGCCGCACTTGCACTTACTCCAAGGTCGCACGCAACTCACGTCACCTGTAGAGTAATGAACCTCAAAAACCCTGACGCATCGAAAAGCATTTACTTGTAAATAACGCAAATTCGAAATGTAAAACGAAAAACGTGCCGCTTCAAAATTCATGCTCTATCGAGCAAGGTGTTATCGAGGTACTCCCCATGTGTCATCCATATATATTTGAAATCATCCAAGTGCCAAACTTCTTTTCTAAAAGTCAGGACCAGCACCAACAGCAGCAGCACCTTTTCTCAAAAGCGAATACCTTGCTGTTCGTCTGACAGTCTCTTTTGTCCGAATCCGCCTCTGCTTCTCTACGCTTGTCTTCTCCTCGTGACGCTCCCGAATTCCCGTTTGTCTTTACTGCATTTCTTCCATAAGAGGCTGAGCTTAGGAGATGGACTCGACTAAGCCGAAGAGGGAGTCTTGGGCCGACTCAGCGGAGGAGGAAGAATTGGAGCTAAAGGAAGCGGAGCTTAAGGCGGCGGCAGCGGCGGCAGCGGCGGAGGTGGCGGCGAAGGCCGCGAAAGACGCGGACGACGCGGAGGACGCGCCGCCGGGCCTGACGCCACGATCTGCGGCGAAGAACACGGAATTCGGCGAGAGCGCGGAGAAAGCGGCGGCGGATTTGGATTCGCTGAAGGTCAGCGAAGGCGTGGTGGATCAACCCGACCTGAGCATCAAAACGGGCGAGCTGAACGACGTGCCTGATGGGTCGGAGCACGAGATTAAGAAGGTGCGTCAGCAGGAAAGGAAATCAAGATGGTTTAGAGCACGAGATTACGAAGGCAAGCTCGTCGTCACCCCTCCCACGGAAAGCGTCCAGTTGATTCTGGAGATTGTGAGGAGCCAACGGGTGAGCTATGAGTGAGCTCAGTATCGAGAAGGCGAGGCGTGGTGGATCAGCCGGACCTGAGCATCAAAACCGGCGAGCTGAACGACGTGCCCGATGGGTCGGAGCACGAGATCAAGGAGGCAAGTTCTCACCCTAGAGCTGTTAGCACACTATCGAAGATCATTATCGGAAATTCGCAATTGTGATTTTTAGGAACCAACCACTGAGCTGCAAACATAGTATGAAGAATGCGAGGCTTGGTGGATCAACCTGACGTGAGCATAAAAAATGGCGAGCTGAACGACTTGCCTGATAGGTCGGAGCATTAAACCTATCAGAGGCGCTACTGAGGGGCCTCTGATAGGCTTGATCTCTATTCCTAGATGAATTTCCAACTGACCGTCACAACTTTTTCTCTGTTGCGTACACCCTCCGACTCCCCACTCCCTCATGCATGCAGGTGGTGGCAGCAGAGACGCCCTACTCGTCCGCCAAGACATTCGAGGAGCTCAACCTATCAGAGCCGCTACTGAGGGGGCCCTACCTCAAAATGATGAATCTCCAACTGAACCTCTCAAAAGCTCTCCTTCACTGCTTAACCACACCCCACCCATCCATCCCGCATCCCATCTCTCTGTTTCTTGTACTATCCCATCAGGTGGTGGCAGCAGAGACGCCCTACTCGTCCGCCAAGACCTTTGAGGAGCTCAACCTATCAGAGCCGCTGCTGAGGGGCCTCTACTCCGAGATGAAGTTTGAACGCCCCTCAAAGATCCAGGCCGTCACCCTCCCCATGATCCTGCAGCCACCTAATGCCAACCTCATTGCCCAGGTGAGTCATTTTTCAGTGAGTTCCAATGCTTGAGGTTGTGTCTTGAGCCTCTCCCAAGATCCAAGCCGTCACCCTCCCTCCCCATGATCCTGCAGCCGTCCAGTAGGGCTATCAGCCCACTGCTTCGGTTCCAATCTGCCGCCCCCTCCGAGATCCATGCTGTCACTCTCTGCCCACTCTCTGCCCACTCTCTGCCCACTCTCTGCCCACTGTCTGCCCACTCTCTGCCCACTGTCTGCCCACTCTCTGCCCACTCTCTGCCCACTCTCTGCCCACTCTCTGCCCACTCTCTGCCTACCGTTTCAGCGCCCTTCCCTCCCCTTTCTCTTTCTCCTCGTCCCCACCGCTTCAACCTCATGAAGGTCTAGTTTCATTTTTTAGTTTAGGGTTTTGGAGGTTTGCTGTTTAGGGTTTCGGAGTTCAGGATTCGGTTTCAGGATTCAGGGTTCACAACGGGTTGGGTGTTTTTTTTTTTCTCTCAAAAATCGACGTGCTTTGTGCTGTTTCGAGGCGACCTGCTGACTCCTCTCCCTCCCCTTCTCCCCATTCCCACTCCCCTCCTCCCAATGCCCTCCTCTTCCCGTCCCCACTACTTACTCCCACCCTTGAGGCGATACAACATGCTTCGTGCTGGCATGCTGTTGCGAGTGGACCCGCAGGTCCAACACGTCCCCCTTCTTCCCTTCTTCCCTTCTTCCCTTTTCCCCTTTCCAATTACCCAAACCACGTCCGATGGGTCAGGCAAGACGACGTGCTTCGTGCTGGCATGCTGTTGCGAGTGGACCCGCAGGTCCAACACGTCCCCCTTCTTCCCTTCTTCCCTTCTTCCCTTTTCCCCTTTCCAATTACCCAAACCACGTCCGATGGGTCAGGCAAGACGACGTGCTTCGTGCTGGGCGGGCTGTCGCGGATGGACGAGGGCCTCAATTCCCTCCCTCCCCTGCCCGTGCCCACTACTTACTCCCGCCCATCAGGCGCACAACGGGTCGGGCAAGACGACGTGCTTCGTGCTGCTGGGCATGCTGTCACGGGTGGACCCGCAGCCCTAACTCCCCCCTCCTCCTCCCTTCTCCCCCTATCGCCTCCTTGTTCCGAAACCGCCCATCAGGCGCACAACGGGTCGGGCAAGACGACGTGCTTCGTGCTGGGCATGCTGTCACGGGTGGATCCGCAGATCAAGGCCCCCCAGGCCCTCTGCATCTGCCCCACGCGCGAGCTGGCGCAGCAGGTGAGAGGGGAGGTGGAGGGTGGACTAAGAAGGGGGGGATGCGAGGTTTGGTGCGAGGGGTGGGTGGGTAACGGCTGTCCAGGTGAGTCAGTCGCAGGTCAAGGCCCCGCAGGCTCTGTGCATCTGCCCGACACGCGAGCTGGCGCAGCAGGTGAGAGACAGGGGGAGGAGGGAGGTGGGGTGACGGTAGGGCGGAGTGCATGGCAAGGAAAAAAGGCGGAGAGAAGGGAGAGCAGTATTTCGGTGACTTTTGAGACGTCTCAAAAGGCGGAGAGAAGGGAGAGCAGTATTTCGGTGAGATGATTGCAGGTCAAGCTGGGTGGATGGAACGAATGTAAGCCGGGTGGATCGAATGCAGGCCGGGTGGATCGAATGCAGGCCGGTGGGGTTGAATGGTGAACCTCTCTAAGACCCACTCACTCGTCTCGTCTGTCCCTCCCGTCCCCCACTCACCCATTAGAACGAAGCAGTGCACCTGCGCATGGCCAAGTACACGGGCATCACACGGGCATCAAATGCGCCGCATCAAATGCGCCGCATCAAATGCGCCGCATCAAATGCGCCGCATCAAATGCGCGGCATCAAATGCGCCGCATCAAATGCGCCGCATCAAATGCGCGGCATCAAATGCGCCGCATCAAATGCGCCGCATCAAATGCGCGGCATCAAATGCACCGCATCAAATGCACCATAGTGTCAAATGCACCATAGTGTCAAATGCACCATAGTGTCAAATGCACCATAGTGTCAAATGCACCATAGTGTCAAATGCACCATGGTGTCATCAAATGCACCATAGTGGCAAATGCACCATAGTGTCAAATGCACCATAGTGTCAAATGCACCATAGTGTCAAATGCACCATAGTGTCATCAAATGCACCATAGTGTCATCAAATGCACCATAGTGTCAAATGCACCATAGTGCCAAGTGCACCATAGTGTCATCAAATGCACCATAGTGTCATCATCCAGAACAAACGCCCTCCGTCTGTTCCTCGAACCCCTTCCTCACTCTTTCTCCCCATCAGAACGAGGCAGTGCTGCTCCGCATGGCCAAGTACACGGGCATCACGTGTGCATGCACAGCCTCAGAGGGCACGGGCACCATCATATCGTCCTCGCAGCAGGAGAGGCTGGGCGACCAGGTGGTCATCGGCACTCCCGGCACGCTCAAGCGCTGGATGACCAAGGACCGCATCCTCCCCGTGAAGAGCATTAAGATTCTCGTGTTCGACGAGGCCGACCACATGCTCGACCAGGTGCGTACACTTGCTTACGCTAATAGTGGTGGCTGGCAGCTTCAGCGTACATTGTCAACTGGCCCAGAACCGCCTTACACTGGCAGCTTCAGCGGGCGATTCTGGCCCAGTTGCACACTTTACACTCTGACAATGTACGCGCTCTTGAGTGCTCAAGCGCTGGATGACCAAGGACTGCATCCTCCCCATGAAGAGCATTAAGATTCTCGTGTTCGACGAGGCAGACCACATGCTTGACCAGGTGTGTGTTACCATCATCGCAAGTGTGCCCCCCCCC